TGGCCTCGAACTCACAGAGATCCACCTGCCTCTGCCTCCCGATTGATGGGATTAAAGGCGTGCGCCACCACCGCCCGGCTGACCGCATGTTTTTGCACTGCATGCGTGAGAGGCCGGTAGAGAGCATCACATTTTCTTGGAACCGGAGTTACAGATGGTTGTGGGCTCCCATGTGAGCGATGGGAACTGAACCTGGGTCCTCTGCAAGAGCAGCAGGTGCTCCTAAGTGCTGGGCCACTTGCAGCCTCACACCTGGATTGGTATGAGGTACAATGTTTTCCGAGGGTGCTGCAGTGTGTGAAAACCCCCACAACTTAGCCCCTGAGCTGGGCAGTTCTCCCTCGGGACTCACGTGTTATAATTAGAGGGCAGCTGAGACCGGCCCTTCACATGGTTAGGGCTACAGTGGGAGTGGCTAGGTTAGTGGGAGCTGGGTGGATAATTCTCAGCTTCAGATACTCTCTTCACGGGCCTCGGTTGAGCTTCTGACAGTACAGTGGTCTCAGGGTAGCTTCTATGGACTTCTGTGAGTTTGGCTCCCACCAGAGTGAGCTTTCTAAGTGTCTCAGCCAGTCACTGCAAGGCTACTTAGGATTTGGCTGTGGAAGGTACTCAGTGCCATGTGAAGTGTATGCTGCTGTTTAGAAGAAAGTTCTAGAGACAGTTCAGTGTCAAGAGCAAAGATATGACTACAAGGAAGACATATATTGGGAGATGCGTGCGTGCGTGCGTGTGTATGTGTGTGTGTGTAGGGGGGGGTTAGTTGGTTGGTTGAAATACGTTCCACTCTGATAACTTTTTAAATGCTCCTTGGCTACTTAAAAACCTTGAGTTCGGTTCTCACGTTGCCATAAATCCTTCTTGTTTGCCGCAGGAGAACCGTGAAGAAGGCAGGGCCAGTATTTACAAGTCCGTGATCATCAACACCTCTAAGGAAATGATGTGCTTCAGTGACTACCCCATCCCAGACCACTACCCCAACTTCATGCACAACTCCCAGGTCCTGGAGTACTTCAGGATGTATGCTAAAGAATTTGACCTTCTCAAATACATCCAATTCAAGGTAAGACATTTTCGTGTGCTTCCTGTTTGAAATTGTTCACCAGGTCAATGAACAATGAAGTTTCTTTTGCCTGTGTTATCTGTCAAGACTAACTTGAAATGGACATATATTTATTCTGTCCAAAGACACCTTGGATTATGGTCCTCAGTCTACTACAGATTAACCTGTACTTTTGGACAAATGAGTTTCTCACCTTTGATTTCTATAAATGTCCTTGTTTATAAAACAACATGATTATCACCCTAGATTATTCCTGGTTCCTTCTTTCTGTGAAGTTTTCTCTCACGTTACTATAATTTGTAATCATGGCCATAAAATAACACGTATTTATGACATCCGGGAACAGCCCAAACTGTCTCGTGACTATTCTGCTAAATCTTGCCCAAGGTAACAACTTCCAGAGCCTGGCACTTGCAGCCCGTGGGTTGTCCTTTGTTTAAGAGAGACACTTCTTGAATAAGCTTGGCACTGTGCCGAGCAGTAAAAAAAATGCAGAGACAAAAAAAGCCAGAGAAAAATTGTATTATGTATGGAACTAATAAAAGTGAAGAGGTACAAAAAAGGCCCCGGCTGAGGGGAGCTCCCCGTGGCCGCCCAGAGGAGGGTGTCCAGCCCACCAGGACATGACACACCGGGCTTCAGCGGAGTTTGTTTTAGGACAGATTATATCTGGGCTGAGACTTGAGGGGCGAATAGGAATCTTCCGAGAGATGATCCAAGCAGAAGCACTGACCTGCGTAAATGCTCGTGACAGAGAACGTGGTGTGGTTCAAGATGGTGGGGCTGGGTGGGATCTCTTCCAGTCCACTGAGACATTCCGGCCAAGGCTCCAGAAGCTCACCAGAAAACATTCTTATTATGCTGTTTAGAGCAACCCTTATTTATTTATTTATTTGTTTATTTCACAAAGCTAAAAAGTATGCCACCAATAACCCCATCTCACCGCCTCGTTAGAATCGCCCGTGAAACGAACCGCTGTAGAAGGCAGAGAAAGACTCCATGACAAACAATGAGGGCCAGTGGGGTGGTGTTCTAGTCCCAGCGGAAAGGGGAACCTGAAGCTGAGTCCTCTGTTTAAGGCCAGACACGGGGGTGGGAATATCAAGGGATGGAGGAGGAACAGGTCCTTAGTTCATATGTCACTCATGCTTGGGAGAAGCCCCTACTTTTATTCAGGCACCGCAGAGCCTTAGGGCACAAAGAGACCTAGCAATGTGTTTGTTCTCAGAGCAGAGGACAGTGCATTCCATTGCCTACCCGATTTTGTAGCCCGCCCTGTTGACATCCATGGACTGTGTGAACCAGATATCCCAAGAGAGGCCCTGTAAGTGATGGTACCTGTGACAGCCCTTTATGTGTGTACCATTCTGTAGGGAGCTGTGTAGGGAAGACACAGACTCTGTAAGCTGTGACTACAGTTCTCTGTCACATTTTTAGACCACAGTGTGCACCGTGAAGAAGCAACCTGACTTCTCTACTTCAGGTCAATGGGAGGTGGTCACTGAGTGTGGAGGGAAAAAGCAGGTGGATGTCTTCGATGGAGTCCTGGTTTGTACAGGCCATCACACGGACGCTCACCTACCCCTGGAAAGCTTTCCTGGTGAGTAACCCACCGTGATGGAAGACGCGGCAGCCATGACTGTGGTCTGACCCCTGAGGAATGGGAAGGGTGGGGTCTGAGTGAGTCTTAAAAATGAGGTCTTCCCCTAATTAAATGCATCCCCCTGAAGATGTCAGGGTAATGTGTATTGCTGCCATTTTGGAAGTGCAGAGGATGGCAGTTTGGAAGACTGGAAGAAAATCAGAGCTCCAGCTATGATCATGAGCCACAAATGTCATATTTTTTTTTGGTCAGTGAATGACTACATGTGCAATGGTAGCCCCATACTATTGTAACCGAGCTGAAAAGTTCCTGCTGTTTTTGTAAGGGCTCAGCCTTCGTGACACAGGAGCACAGAGTGATGTTTGCAGGGCTGTGCTGTAGACCAGTCTGCTGCACTGTCTAGTTGTTTAACATCGTAGCATGTGGGCCTGTTAAATACCTAACACTGGACGATGGGTAACCTACTGTTGTGTATGTTCTACACTGTACCTTGTATAATTCCTCCATGTATTTAAAAAGTGTGCCGTAGACTCGTGGGCCATGTTATACCAGCAACAGCCTCACACGCTCGTGTTTATTGTGTCTTTCTATTGACATGTGCCATCGATGTGTGTATGGTATCTATGCAGTGATGAGATCGATTTTCAATATGCTTCTAGAGTGATTGTATTCCTGCCAAATAGCACTGTATTTAAAACTCATGGTGACTCTTCTCCTCACAACCTAAAGAAATTCTAGAGTTCTTGATTAGCACTAGTTGGAATTAGAGATGTTCCATCAATTGAAGAAGAAGGAGAAGAAAAAAAACCAGAAATATTGAGTTTCTAAGAATGAAGTGAAAGCTTAAAGCATTTCATTTCATGTTTCTGGCCTGGACTTTGACCTTTAAAAATGTATTCTACATATGCCCTATACACACATAAAACTGTGAGGATGAGGGCTGGAGAGTGACTCAGAGGTTAAGAGCACCGACTGCTCTTCCAGAGGTCCTGAGTTCAGTTCCCAGCAACCACATGGTGGCTCACAAACCATCTGTAATAAGATCTGGTGCCCTCTTCTGGCCTGCAGGTATACATGCAGACAGAACACTATATGTAATGAATAAATAAATCTTATTTAAAATATGTATTTTTTAATGTGGGGATGAAAAATAAAGGAGAATGGAGGTTTTCTGAGGCTGTCTGGACTTGTGTCTACAGATTCAAAATGCAAATTATTTATGACAGGGAAATCACAAAGGCAACGAGAGGAAAAAAAGAAGCAAATGTTTAGAAAGATGAGAGAGTCACTTAATAAAGGGAGAATATGGAGAATATAAGTTGAAACTTTAAACACCACAAAACAAAACACGTGGTTTGACAAATAATATCCTTCATACAAACCATCCCCCAATAACTATTTTCCCTTCTCTTCTAGGAATTGAAAAGTTCAAAGGAAAGTACTTTCACAGCCGAGACTATAAGAACCCAATAGAATTCACCGGGAAAAGAGTCATTGTAATTGGCATTGGGAATTCTGGAGGGGATCTGGCTGTGGAGATCAGCCACACAGCCAAGCAGGTTTGCATCCATAATTGGTTTACTTTGCTTCACTCTGACCAAGGAAGTAGACCCAGGAAAGAACAGAGAGACCTACACATGGCCCACCCGGGCCTGCAGCAAACACGTGGGGCTTGTTCACTGCCCAGGTTGCAGCTTTAGGGTTGATGCTGAATACACAACCTATAAATCAACATTTTCAAATGGACCGATGAATTTCAGTGCATCAAGGAAGTTTGACATAATGCTTTTTAAAGACTTATTTTTATTATGGTGTGTGTGTATGTGTGTGTGACTATGTCTGTGTGTCTGTATGCATGTGTGTGTCTGTCTCTCTCACTGCGTGTGTGTGTGTGTGTGTGTGTGTGTGTGTGTGTGTGTGTGTGTGTGTACATATGTAACTACAGAGGCATCAGGTTCTCCTGAAGCCCATGTGGCTGTGAGCCACCTGACCTGGGTGCTGGGTACTGAACCTGGTTCCTCTGCAAGAGCAGCCAGTGTTCTTAGTCACTGAGCCATTTTTCCAGCATAGCATAATGTTTTTTTGTGAAGTGAAAATATCCCTTTCTTGTCCATGTAATTATTCCCTGATAATTATAGAATTAACTCGTGGAGTGACATAGGAAATCACCTTCATGGTTAGACATGGAAACAGCACTGAAGAGAGGTATTGCTGGGGTAAAGTTACTGTGTAAATATCGTTGAACAAAACTGTAGCATTAAGGATTTTTCTTAAAATAATTTGAACATATTTGTACAGAAACAGAATAATCACAATTACTGAGAAACAGGTAGGCATTTACCTATTGCCAATAAAGTAGTGACTCAATGAAGATGCAAGATTATATTGAGTAAATAATGTCCTTACACAGCCCTTTTAAAGTAAGATTTGTAAATTCGTTGCTTATTGTAAACAGGTAGCGATGGAAAACCGGAGTTAAAGTGTAACAGTCACTAACATGTATTGCGTGCTCCCTGTAAGTCACACCATTTGCACAAAGACCATTCTCACAATTCCATTGGGTACATATATTACTGTCACTGATTAGTAAATGGCAAACCTTTTACTTCAGCCCTGAGCATTGACCTCACTTTGCCAAAGTTGTATAGCTGATACACAAAAGCATCTGGTTCCTGGGAATATGTGTGTGCACTTTCACCCGTGACATGCAGAAGCGTTTCATATGTAAGCCCTCGGGTTTCCACTGGTGAGGATGTACGTGTGGAGGAAAGGATCGTTCCTTTGCAGACAGGCAGCTCACTGCTTGAAAGCTTAAGCCAAAGACCTTGAAGCAAAGTACATTGTTACAGCTCTAGAAACCACCTCCAGAGGGAGATGTGGAATAGAAAAAGTAATAACTTGCTGGTAATTGAACATCATCAGCCTTTAGTCAGTTTTGAACGTGGACTTTGGCAGTGGGGGACACTGGAAGACTGTTTCCTCTAGGTCCACTAGCGGTCTCCATTGTTTTCATCAGTCAGTGAAACAATTTCCTTACACAGGCTCGGGAGTTAGACACTGCAGAAAAAGTCAGCTTTGCACTTTCTAGCTGGATGACCTCAGGCTGTGTGACTTACTCCTTCCATCCATAAAATGGGGCTGACAGTGGCTTCCTCAAGAGTTTAGTGTGCTGGTTAAATTAAAATGTAAAGGGCCTGGCTTACTTACAGGTCACAGGTATCAGTAAGGAGTGATGCTGATATGCTGGGAGACTAAGGGTGCCCAGGTTATACCTCCTGCTCTGCAGAAACACACTCGGAGAGTCAGAGGCCAAGAGCTTATAAATTTTTGAGGTGGAGATTGGCCATCTCTCTAACAGGGTTGTTGATGATAAATGATGTAATATAAATGATACAAATGATAAACAAGGTTTTTGTAACACTGCAAATAATGTCAGTGGCAAAATGACTAAGGGTTTTGGATTAAATGATCTGCAGTTCCTTTCAGTTTTAGTATTCCATAGCTTTTTTAAAAAATTGCTTTACAGTTGTTTGCTTTGTGGGGGTAGGGGGAGCACACAGGTGCCCATGCATATGTGGGGGGTCAAAGGACACCAACAGGAGTTGGTTCTCCCCTTCCACCGTTTAGGTCCTAGGGACGGAACTTAGGTTGCCAAGCTTGGCAGCAGGTGAGTTCCCTATTAGCCGTGTCTCCAGCCCTGAATCTGTATTTTTTAAGGTGTTCTGTAGATGGTAAGTGCTAGGAAAGCTCAGGGGGAGGAGAGAAAATGATCCCCTCGAAAGGTCAGTGGTGTCCTCATGGAGGGAGCAGATTTGATCTGAGACTCAAAAGTGCGTAGATGTGGGAGGATTTATGTCCATGGTTCCCAATGTGTGGGTCACGACAACCTTCTCACAGGGGTCGCCTAAGACCATCAGAAAACACAGATATTTGCATTACAATTCATAACGGTGGCAAAATTGCAGTTATGAAGTAGTAATGAAAATAATTTTATGGTTGGGGGGTCACCACAACATGAGGGACTGTATGAAAGAGCATCAGCATTATGAAGGTTGAGAACCACTGATTTATAAGAAAAGGGCTTGTTTAGCAAAGACAGTAGATTACAGCAAGATGTATGCATGGCCAGTGACTGTGCCAGCTTAGGAAGGAAACAGGAGGGCATTTTGCTTACAAGGCTATATGGGACTTAACCTTAAGGAGCATGGGACTGCTTTTGAAGGACCGTGAACAGACCGATCAAAACAAACAATGTTTCCCATGGCCCAGGTATTCCTCAGTACCAGGAGAGGAGCTTGGATCTTAAACCGCGTGGGGAAAAATGGATATCCTACCGATCTGCTGTTCTCTTCTCGACTTTCCTACTATTTGTCAAAGATCCTTAGCCCATCAATAGTAAACGGATTTATGGAAAAACAGATGAACCAAAGATTTGATCATGAAATGTTTGGCCTGAAGCCTAAACACAGGTACGTTCCCAGGATGGGAGAGGGGCTGGAGATGGCCAGGGCCCAAAGACCAGCACTGCTGACATGGGCTCTAGCAGAGCCACCCCTGCCCAGACATTAAGAACATCTGTAGAACCAGAGATTCTTTTCTCCAGCTTGCTGCTCTGTAGGTTTTCAGCTTATCATTATTCTTGATGTAACTATTTTCTCATAGTATCGGTTCTTTCTGTACAGCACTCATCAATAACTAAGACACAGTGGCAGAGGTCAGTGCATCATTTTTCTTCCACCCAACAAGCCTGCTGTGAGCCAGGCATTCCGTATACTGGGCATGACAAACAGAGGGAAAAGACAAACTCGTAACACAAATACACCTTGTCCTCTGGAGGGCTTTCTGTAAGTGTAGAGCTGGCTAAGTGAATCCTATGCTCTCTCTCAGACCTTACAATGACCTTATAGGCTGGTCTAATTTAATGCCCATTTTCTAGGAATATAAAAAAATTGAATCTTATGTGACAAAGTAACTTATCCAAGGTCAACACAAAAAGAAATGACATAGTCCAGAAAATGGATGTTCCCTTAAAAACACCAATAGAAAGAAAAATAACAAATGTGGTTTTTGAAAATTCATAGAGACAGATCTGATGGTGCAGGATTATAATCTTAGCTACTGGGGACGTGGAGGCAGGATGAGTCCTAGTTCAAGGCAAGCCAGCCTGGGCAACTTAATGAGAAAAGTAAAAAAATACAAACTAGTTGAGGATATAGCTTAGTGATAGATCACTTACCTAATATGAGTGAGAGTCTGCATTTGATCTTCAGTACTGTAATGTGTTTGAATGGGGCCCACGGGGACAGACAGCAAAGCATGGAATATAGTAGGAGTATAGAATGAAATTATAGTATACGGAATGACTTGGGGCCAATGACATGGTTCACACAGTAAAGGCACTTGCTGCCAAGCTTGATGGACCTGAGTTTGATCTCCAAGACCCACATAATGGAAGGAAAGAACTGACCCCTCCAAGTTTTCCTCTGACCTCTATGGGCCACTGTGGCACACAAGACCACATATGTATACACACATAGACACACACTCTTTCATACACACAATTGGTCAATAAATGTTAAGACTTTTATGAAAGCATTTCTAAAGCCTAATTTTAAATGCTTGGTTGTGCCTTTTTTATTTTATCTATTTATTTGTGTGTGGGGTGGGGGTCACACAAGCCATGCAAGGTATACATGTTGAGACAGAGGACAGCTTATATGAGTCAGTTATCTCTACAGTGTGGGTTCTGGGGATCCAACTCAGGTCATCATTCTTGGCCCAAGAGATATTTACTGCTGGTAAATGTCAAATAGCCATTTCATTGGTCTCCCATGTTTTATATTGGTTAAGTACTCAGATCTACAGAAAAGTTGTAAATTAGCAAATATGAAGTCTACCCATGTACCTGTTACCTACATTTGACTGTCTGAGCAGTTTTCTGTGTTTTTTTCTGTCCCCTCTTGAAATATCAATAGATTAACATCTACACACAGACTACACACATACCTAGGTGCATAGTTTTTTAACTATATGAGAGTAAACTGTAATCATCAAAACAAAAGTACTTAAAATACTTCAGCATATATCACATAAGAAAAAGAACATTCTTTGGTATATCCATAACACAAGTATCACAGTCAGGAAATTTAATATTGATAAATATGTCCAAAAATATTGGCAATTAAAGTTTTAACAGTTTTTCCAACAATATTTTGTAGTTTTTTATCATTTCAAAAATGTATCACTCACCCCTACTACAGTCTGTCATATATTCATACTCTCTCTTACCTTGAAATAATAATTCCAATTCTCTTTTTTTAACATAGACCTTTAAATATATATATATATATATATATATATATATATATATATAATATTGTTTTGTAGATCATCTCTAAATTCTGACTTGCATAATGGCTTTTTCTTTATTACATTATGTTGAGTAGACTCAGATTCATGAGGCATAAAAACTTTTATATCATCTACTAAATAAGGTTTAGAATGAAGTCAATGCAAAGGCATTCAGATATTTTAAGCAGAGCTGGAGAGAGATGATTCAGTGGTGAAGAGCACTTGCTGCTCTTGCACAGGACATCAGAGGCTCACAACCCCTTGTACTGTCACTTTCAGAGGATCCAAAGCCTCTGGCCTCTGCAGGAATTAGGCACACATGTGGCACATATACATACACACATGCACTCGCACATACATATTAAATAAAAATCTTTTGAAAAAAACATTAAGAAGTGGGTAGCATAATAATGTCTTCAGGGACAGCCATTCTGAAAATGGTGTGGAAAGCCGATGAGATGGCAGTGTACAGACAACAAACGTTCCAGGAGAAAGAAGAAAAAAAACTGCCCAGGGGAGGTTATAGGCAGATACGGGATTAACAGTTTTATGTTTTGCACAATTGTGTAGATGGCTGGTTTAGATAAAAGATAGTGTCTTCGTGAGGTTTTCTATTGCTGTGAAGAGACACTAAGACCATGGCAACTCTCCTGAAGGAAAACATTTAATTGGGGTGACTTACATTTTCAGAGGTTTAGTCCATTAGCATCATGGTGCAACATGGCAGCATGCAGGCAGACATGATGCTGGAGAAGGAGCTGAGAGTCCTACATATTTATCTGAAGGCAACAGGAAGTGAACTGAGACACTGGACACAGCTTGAGCATAGGAGACCTCAAAGCCCGCCCCCACAGTGACACACTTCCTCCAATAAGGCCACACCTCCTAATAAGGCCACTCCCTATGAGCTTATGGGGCGAGTTACATTCAAATTACAGCAAATAGGGAACTGTTTGGAAAGGAGAATGAAATCCTGAGGTTGGAATGTAGAAAAGAATGTACATAAAGGTTAGAATCCATGCAAGTTAACTGTAACAAAACTGGCCTTTAAAAAAAAAAAAAAAAAAAAAAGACCCAAGAAGGTGGAAACAGGCATCTGGCACCTTACCCTGTGCTGTCCCCAGGGAACACTACTTACCCCATCGGAAGTATAGAAAGCTATTTTGACAAACATTCTAAGATCCTAGGCGGTGTAACATTGGGAGTCACTCAGCTTCTCCAGGCCTGATTCCTCATCTCCAAGTCACCGGTAATGACAGCTGTTCTCCTTTCTTCATAAAGTCTGAGGGTCAAGGAATTCAGTGCACAGTAAAGCTATCTCTCTATAGACTAGATGTTAGTATACGTATGTAATTTATTTGTGGTTTGGAAAATGATGGTTTAAGTCTATCTCTGGGCTCTGGAACTGGAAATGGGACTGAGCGTAATGTTCAGGATCTACTTCTGCCAGTTCTTGAGAGCTGTCTGAAACTGTAGCCTTACCCTGCCTCGGAACATTGCTGTTACCTGAGAGACCACCTACGTGCACTCCTCAGGTGAAGCCCTTCATTCCTGCAGCACCCTCCCTTCCCAAGCCATCCAGGCCCCGAGGGCCGGATCTGCGCCAAGCTGGTACAAGGCAGACCTTGATTGGCGCCTTTGGCCAGATGCAAGGGGCAAACACTGGCTTTTACCACCAGCGCGGAATCACCCTCCCGTGCTGGTTTCTTTCCTCTTCTCCTTCACTCTGACCTCACCCCCGTCTTACCACTTACAGGGCTCTGAGTCAGCATCCAACAGTAAACGACGAACTGCCAAATCGCATCATTTCCGGCTTGGTGAAGGTGAAAGGAAACGTGAAGGCGTTCACGGAGACGGCCGCCATCTTCGAGGACGGCTCCAGGGAGGATGACATCGACGCGGTCATCTTCGCCACAGGCTACAGCTTTGCCTTTCCTTTCCTTGAAGACTCTGTCAAGGTCGTCAAAAACAAGGTGTCCTTGTACAAAAAAGTCTTTCCGCCTAACCTGGAAAAGCCGACTCTTGCGATCATCGGATTAATTCAACCCTTGGGGGCCATTATGCCCATTTCTGAGCTCCAAGGGCGCTGGGCCACCCAAGTGTTCAAGGGTAAGGGATGATAGATGTCGACCGCGAGGTGAAATGTTTTTAACTATGCCTATGAAAGTGCTTCTAAATACCTACAGGGTAGGAAGGATTTCAACAGAGCCTGGCACGAAGCTAGTGCCAGAAAATTTATTTTCAATGGACCTAAAGCAGTAATGTGTCACCATAGTCACGCATCAGAAACACATCAGTGATTTTTCTTAATAATTACGCATGCTTTACTCCCGTCACTGGTGGTGCTCAATTCAGAGGTGAGTGTGGCTTAAGATCTTTCAGAAAAAGATTCTCCAGGTGACTCCAGTGTGCAGCTCGTATATATTTGTGGAGTTAAATGATCCTTTCGTTAGAGATAAAGTCTAATATAGACTACCGTGACTTAATTTCAGCCATAGGTTAAGAGATGCTTAGAGATTCACCCAGAATGTGGAATACTGAATTTCTCAACGTCCCAATTCCCCGCCTCCTATGCTCCTCTTTCCCATAGCTCACATGAGAGGACACATGGAAGACACAGAAGGTTCTTCCTGGATACTGAGTTTCTGTGTCCCGCGTTTAGAGAGACTGCCAGGGGAGTTAACCGGGGTGTGCTCAGAACAGGGAAATCCATCACCAAGCTGGCCGAGCAGCTGAAACCTTTTCCACGGGGACTTGGGGTCAGTCTGCTGATGAAATGGCTTAGAGGAGCTGATGTGTCTTGTTTCAAGACCTCTCCAGTGCTAAACCTCAACCCTCGCTCCGGAAGCAGAATTAGACCCAGTGCTTCAAGTTGCATAAAAGTAGATTTGAAGGTTAATACAAAGAGTGTTCCAACGATGAGAGCATCCAAACAATTACGCCATGTCCTTGGGATACATAAGGTCTCCGTGACCAGAGATGTTTAAGGAGAAATGAGGTAGATAGCTGCTTGATACTAGTATCATAGAGAAGAGGACTGCCGTAGGTAAGATCGATTTCTATCCTGAAATGATGTTTCAGAATTTTATGGAGTAGTGCCTAGTGCCCATTTACCTGTGAAGAAGGTTGGTTGACCTGGAGTTATTTTGGCTTAAACACTAGTTGGACTTGTCTAGTTGGTATTTTGGTGTCAAATTCCTGCTCTTGGAACTGTTTGCACATCAGAGCTTAAACTTACTTGTGAAGCTTGAGTATTATGAGTTGCCATTGGCCTTACGCTCAACTCTTACCAAATAACAGAATTTAGGTGGTAAGAGTTACCGTCCATGGGACTTTAGCATAAAATATCATGGTGAGATTTTTACCTCCTTCTTTTTCTGAAATATAAAACCTCCTCGTTATCAAGATACCAGTGCAGAACTGTCTCCCATTCCCTTGAACTTGGATGTTGTACCTCATTTTTTCTAGGCTTCTAAGTCATTTATCATTTCCTCATATCCATCATATTCATTTCCCAACTGAAAGACCACATTAAGAGATCAGTTGGAAGTCAGAGAAAAGCAAATAACTTCCAAGGAAATGCAGAGTTGTGGAGCCCAGTCCCAGTGGATACATCCACAAAAACAAAAGCAAAACAAACAAAACAAAACAAAAAAAAAACCTTCCATATCTAAGGCCCAGAGAACATTTTGGAAGAGGGGTTGGAAAGACTGTAATAGCCAGAGGATTGGGAGTTGTCTGTGAGATTGTGTCTCATAGTAATGTCAGAAGCTATACCCATAAAGTCTCACCGACGTGACTGCCTACACATGAGCTGAACAAGAACAAACATGCTAAAGTGGATGGGGAAAGACCAGAAGACCTCAACCCTACACAAAGAGCTACAGGCAAATAAGAAATGCTGAGAGCAGGAGCTATAGTCTTCAGGAAAGAGCACACCAATTGGTTATGCAATACCAAATAGTTATCCCTGAAAACATGAACATCCCTGAACAGGTTATATTTAGGAATATATATGCATATACATATATGCATGTAATAATAAACGAAAAAGGAGGCCATAAATTTGAAAGAGAGCAAGAAGGGGTTTGTGAGGGGGCTTGAAGGGAGGAAAAGGGAGGGGGAAATGTAATTGTATTGTAATCTCAAAAATAAAAGAAATAATTAAAAGGTACCTTGCAAGGACAAGGCGGAATAGAGTAAGTGATACATGTAAGTGTACTTCAGAGAATGAAAGGGGCGTTCCTTATCTGAAATGCTGAGGACCAGGGTCTTCTAGATTTCAGATTTCTGACAATTTGCGTCTGTGTAATGGGTTACCTCTGGGCTGAGACCCAAGTCTAAACATGGAATTAATTACTTTTTCCTAGACATCTTTACACATAACATTGTATAGGACTTAATCCGGCTGTGCCTGCCTTTTGAGTGTGACCTGATAACGTGATACCATTGTGGATTTCTTTTTCTTACTTAGGGCATCTTCTTCAATGGGAACAGTTCCAATTTCTGATTTCCAGATTTAGATGCTCAACTTTTACCATCATATTTTAGTAGTGGTGGGACTGAATGCATTTTGTAATCTCGTCTGAGACCCTGTAATTCTTCCAATTTTCCACAGTGTGGTCATGGTCATCAGGAGTATTGCCCATTCTGAAGTAATTAACACTTCTGTTTTTAATTCGTTTCTCCTTAGGGCTGAAGAAATTGCCCTCACAGAGTGAAATGATGGAAGAAATAAATAAGGCTCGAGAGGAAATGGCAAAGAGGTAAGAAATTCTCCCAGGAGACATTTGAGTCTCCTCTATGTATTTCTCAGTAAGAAGAATATTTGCTAGACTTGGTTTTCATGTGTGGGCTGAAGGATTTCTGTTATACTGTGATATCAGAGGGAATTGTAGCATGTGTGGTTTCCATGTGGCCGAGGAAGGAGGGAGAAGCTGGTAGGACGTTTAAAGGCCATGTTTACGGCCGAAAAGGAGTGGAGTAGGAAAAAGGAACATAACGAGGGAACATCAGACATAGTATTTGGTGCGGATTTCTTAAATGGCGGGGCTCTCTGTTTGCCTCCTTCTCTGGCAGCTCCCTTCCCAGGCGCTCTATTTGCCTGCTCTGCTGAAGTCCTGTGGTGGAGTTGCTGGATCCTGTGCTCTCCCCCTCTGCTCCTCCCCCCACGCCCCTGCACTCTAACTCCCTGGACACCCCTGCCCACAGCCCACGTCGGGCCCCCTCCTCTCACTACTGAGGCTGACACTTCTGAGCAGCCCTCCTCCTTGGAGTGGTTTTCTCTCCCTTGTGTGGGGCACAAAACTAACTTATTTCAACTGCCTGCCCTCTTTCCTGTGGCTTACTGATTTCTCGGACGGCCTTCTGACTGTGTGCGGTCCCCAGGGATGTCACCTAACTTCTGCTTGGGGTCAATTTTGCGCTCATATTTAGCATTTCATATTCACGGAGATGATTGACTCCTTGTGACAACCCTACAAGGTGGCATTGGTGATTTCCTTTTCTTGAACCTTCGTGAATGCTACAGCTCTAACCTCCACCTATGGGATAAGTGAACGCATGCCCACAATGTCTGAGTCACTGGAGCTCCCAGGAAGCCAAGTCCCCAAGTTCTTCCCTGTCTCCTCACTTCCGAAATTTAGTGTCATTTCACTAACTCCTCCGTGGTCATCTGAGAGTCCCTCTGCCATCTCACCGGCTCACTCAAATTTACTTCCTGTCATTTGTTTCTGTCCTCCATTGTGGATTCCTCCATCTCTATTCGCGCGGCTTAGCTTTTTCTTTACTCCCTCTCTCTCTTACAGTCATCACAGAGCAAAAAGTTGTTTTTCATTTGCTCTCCAGATGCCCTTTGTCCACATAGATAGCACTGTTTATCACGTTTACCCACTAAAAACTCTTTCAACCCTTACATCTGCGCTTGGTGTAACCATCCCATCTATCTCCATCCAGAGGACGAGTTACTCTTGGAGGATGGCATCCTCTCTCAGCTTCTCGACTTTCTAAACTGATGTCAGTCCAGAGAAGCCCTATTTTGTGCACCCCACTAACTCTCGTCCTCACAGGGTAACCGAGGATCCCGTGCTTGAGGAAGGTTGAGGCATTCGATGTCACATAGCATTGCATCCTCTGGATCTGCCAGCCCTGCCTCTCCATATCCACTCACGTTTCCCACGCTGTGAGCAATACCCAGACAGTCTCCGCCCATTCCTTCCCCACATCTCCACTCTGCTCTTTGCCTCCCTTCCAATCCTTCCTTTGTTCTCGCTTGGGCTTTATCCTTCAAGGATCCCTCAGCCATTGCTCTCTAAACAAGCGTCTCTCTACATTCCCATTTTGCGTCCATTCCAGAATAGTTACCTGAAGCCTTATACACGTCTGCCTTCTTGAGCGTAGTGTCTGTGCATTCAAGAGTCTAGCGTTGATTCTCCCTGGGCACAGCAGCTGCACCTGAATCTGCTGCTGTTTCAGCAGCAGTAACTAGAGCTCTGCAGTTCCTGGCCTCATTTTCAGGCAGCAGCCTGGCAGGACGTTTCTATTCTGCCAGATCTGCCTCCCGGCGCTGCCAAGTGTAGTTTTTAACTAAATCTCTATTGTTCTATTAACCAAAAAAAGACTCAAGAGTCAGAGGCTGGGGTGAAAACCTGCTAGCTCAGAGAGACTGAGGAGCAATTAGCTGACCTTCCCTCTTTGCTGGTGTCTCAGAAAGAGAGCGTCTCTTCCATCACTCCAAACCAAACAGGATGGCCACACTCAGAGTTCCCCCCTCCTGCTCCCTGTGCATTTCTCTATCCATCTTCCAGACTCCCTCCGACTCACTATGATCACTTTCTTTCAACTCGTTACTGGCTGTGCCTCCTAACCCAAGGTTGATTTTATTTAACTAATGCAAACACAAACTTGAGAGGTTCATGGTGTGATCAAATATTCCCCGCAGCAGTCTGGTGCATTATAAAATCCTTAAGGAAGGTAACACATGGCCTATGTATTTCCCACAGTTCTTGGCACGATATCAGGCCCACAAGCAGACACTCACAAAGCACTGACGGGCCGTTCGCCAGGATCACTGTTAGCCTGAGTCTTCTGTCTTCTTTGCTTTAGGTATGTGGACAGCCAGCGCCACACTATCCAGGGCGACTACGTAGAGACCATGGAAGAGATTGCAGAGATGGTGGGTGTCAGGCCCAATCTCCTGTCTCTCGCCTTCACCGACCCCAAGCTGGCATTACGGTTGCTACTGGGACCCTGCACTCCAGTCCAGTATCGCCTGCAGGGCCCCGGAAAGTGGGCAGGAGCTCGGCAAACGATTCTGACCACAGAAGATCGTGTAAGGAAGCCTCTGATGACAAGGGTGGTTGAAAAGGGGGACTCCGGGGCTTCTCTGACGACGATGCGCGTCGTCATGCTAGCTGTTGTTTTCTTTGCTGTAATCCTGGCTTATTTTTAGATGGGGCACTGTCAGCCTCCTGGCTTTCCCTGGAAAAGCCTCATCTAGCAACACCTCAGAACCTGACAAGACTGAACACTGGGCATCATACTGCTCAGAAACCTCCACCCCCCCCTTCTCATTTTTCCTTCTGCAAGGCTGGGTTTTCATTTATCAATTCATCTTCCTTCCTCTCTTGAGCCTCCACTTTTTCCTTCTGGAAATTCCCAGACGATGAAGTCAGGGCCTCTTTCCTCGTCTCCATATGTTATCTGCAGAGTCCTCTTAATGCTTGACTGCTGTATTTCTAATCTTGCACACCTCGACTTCAGAGTGCAATCATTCATCCTGAAAAGACTGCTCCTGTTATCAGGCACATACTGGCTACAGCTTGACCTTGTAAGCAGAGGCAACACATCCAGCTCAGGAATTCCTGCAGGAGGACAGTCCAGCAAGAATTAACCACTTAGTGCTGAGGGCTGGAAGTCCAGGATCAAGGATGCAGACAGTGAGGAATTCCTGGCTTCATAATTAATACAGTGAGGGCATTGAATGGCAAAACAGAAAACATGTCCTGAAAATAGCCAAACGAATGGAAACACATGAACTATGAACCAAAGGCTGAGGGGCCCCCAGCTGGATCAGGCCCTCTGAATAGGTGAGACAGTTGATTGGCTCGATCTGTTTGGGAGGCAACTAGGCAGTGGGACCAAGTCCTGTGCTCATTGCATGAGTTGGCTGTTTGAAACCTGGAGCTTATGCAGGGACACTTGGCTCAGTCTGGGAGGAAGGGACTGGACCTGCCTGGACTGAGTCTACCAGGTTGATGGCAGTCCTGGGGGGGGGGGGGGCTTTGCCCTGGAGGAGGTGGGAATAGGGGGTGGGTTGGAGGTAAGGGGAGGGAGTGGGAGGGGGGAGAACAGGGGAACCTGTGGCTGATATGTAGAACTGAATGGTATTGTAAAATAAAATAAAAGGAAAAAAAAATGTCCTGAGCTAAGTTCCGACATGTGGCATGTGCTTAATAAATACTCAGTGATATATAGGAAATAGGCTGGCCTCCCTAAGTCAATCTGATACATGTCTGACTCCATGGAACTCTTCTTCTGATACAATTCACTGTCTAGCTGGAGGTTAATTTTTGTTTTTATTTTATAACTGAATAGGCCCATCTTTAATGTGGGTACTGGATTTGAACTCGGGTCTTCTTGCTTTCATTAGCAAGTGCTCTTACCAAGCCATCTCCCTGTCACCTGCTTCTGCTTTCTTTAACAAAGAGACTACTAGACTGCATACAGTGGCACATATGCTAGGACTGGGGAGTTCCAGGCAAAGGTTCACCGCAAGTTCAAGACCAGCCTAGTCTGCATAGTGAGTTTCAGGCCAACCAGATTTGCGTAGTGATAACTTGCCTCCAACAACAACAACAGCAAAATACAAAACAAGAAAAGAAATTGCTCTCTGGGTCTAAAAGTCATTGAAAGAAACTGCCATCTTCCAATAGGTAAGCTGAAGAGTGTGGGGGTTTGCTTAGATGTCCTGGCTTGACCTGTCAGTGCCTGTATTAGGATGGAGGAGGGCTTCAGCTGAGGAGGTGACTGACTGACTGCCAGCTGCTGAGGCGGGGTCTGCCAGGGTGATTAGTTCTCCACCTCTCTACCCTCTCCTTCCATTCAGAGTCTACAAAGTAAGAGTCAATGACGTCATTTATGTCTTAAGATAGAATTCATTTTTACGGTGCTAATATTAACCGGGGCATTTGGCCTAGACCAGTTCTTCTTGGGTGCTACGGTGCAGTTCAGAAAAACAGGAAGTGATCTGTGTAGCAGGCTTTCTTGTCAGGCTATCTTTGGACCACCAGCCCAGAAATAATAACCCAGAGACTTATTATTAATTATGAAAGCTTGGCCTTAGCTTAGGCTTTTTCCCAACTTGCTCTTATAACTTAATTAACCCATTTTTAAAAAGTCTACATTTTGCCACGTGGCTCAGCTACCTCTTCTTAGCACAGCACATCCGACTTGCTCCCAGTCCGTTGGCAAAATCATGCACCTAGATTCCTCCTCCCAGTTTCTCCCTCCCTGCCTGGAAGTCCTGCCTATACCTCCTGCCTAGCTATTGGGCGTTTTGCTTTTTTAAAAAAATTACTCCAATCACAGCAATACACCTTCACACAGTGTACAAATATCCCACAACAGAACTGAACTGCAGACGTTAAGAAGCATCAGCTATCGGGTTCACTGAACTCCCTAGGGATAGGTACTGGACGTGCAGGCAGGGTACCTTCAGAACTAACTGCTGTGCAGTATGTCTCTAAATGGACTGCTGCCAGTCACTGAAGTAGGGGGTAAGTTTGGTCAGCGCAAAGAACAGCGTTAGAATAACACAAATATGCATAAGCTGATCTGTGAGAATTCAAACTCTTTCCTCATCATACATGTAATCGGAAGCTGCCTGACATTTCACCCCGTGTACCTTCTGCAGACTTAAGTACTGAGCCCTGGTATGGTTCCTGGGGTCCTTTTCCTTCCCCAATCCTTTTGAAACTGTTTCTCATTATTAAAATGGATCTGGGATTTTTTAAATATAGATTGCTTTTGTTAAAAAATAAATTGAATCACTGCATCTGAACTCTCCTTCTGTTACAATGTAAAATTCTTCCCATTTAGCTTGTAAAGACATTGAAGGATGGCACCTCCAGGAATGCCATCTCTCCTCATGAGCCGTAACACCAAAGGCTTCTTTCAAAGCATGCAATTTTAAATCGATTTGACTCTCTCATTCCATTTAGAATGTGTAAAACTACAAAAACACCATTGATTTCTAAACCAAACTGAAGGTAGGACCAGAATAGGATATTGAACTTAAAATAATTGAAGATATAAAGCGTAAGTACTGGTGAATTTACACATTTTGCTCTTCTGGCCATATGAAAAGATGACACCACTTTCTCAACTATGATAAATCTGATTACCCAAAAGATGTATTCTTGTAACACCATAGAATAAAGAAATGGCCAAAAGGAACCGAGTAACACACGTCAAAGGAGGAGAGAAGCCATGGCAACGTGGCCCCAATGGCCCAACTGGAAAAAAATTGAGCAATAAATGACTTAGTATTGGATTGTAACACGAAACATAAAGGTACCCGAGTCCATACTGTTATAAATAAATGATTGAAAACATTAGTGGGATGGGATGGATCCCATCCCATCTCCCACACAGAATTACAAATAACTCATGTGCTTGTCCCTCAAGGAAATGAAGCAAAACTCTCTTAAATAGACTGCATAGATGAACTTCCCTCAGAAATCTAAGTGTGGGAGGGGGTGAGAGGTAACTGCAGAGGAGAAAGCAGACAAACTACCTCAGCTAGGTGGTCCATGTCAACATAAGCAGTGACAATCATATGACATGATCCTCCTTCGGACTTTAGCCCAGGCTAGACCTGAGAGAAGTACGAGGCAAACTCAGGATGATCTACAAATATCTTACCACCTTAGAACCTTTTAACTCATTAAAAAAAAAGTCTGAGAAGGGCTTCCTAGCACACAGGAGCCTTGAGGGTTAAAGTATCCATAGTGAGCCGGGTGGTGGTGGCGCACGCCTTTAATCCCAGCACTCGGGAGGCAGAGCCAGGCGGAACTCTCTGTGAGTTCGAGGCCAGCCTGGGCTACCAAGTGAGCTCCAGGAAAGGCGCAAAGCTACACAGAGAAACCCTGTCTCGAAAAACCAAAAA